GGCTCACACCCCAGGTGTGCAGGAAACTGGGGTGACCCTAACTTGTGAGGTAATGATGCAGAGCCCCAGGCTTCTCAGCCTGCAGGAGAGGCACTGCGGAAATAGCAGCACTTCCCAGCGGAAGAGGGACTGCGGCAAGGAGAATGCAATGCCACCTGGGAGGAAGAGCAGAGGACGGACAATATTTTGATCATGTAGTGTAGATGTGCATCAAGGGTTCTCAAACTTTGGTTCCTAAGTTCCCCTAAGATGCCAAAAGCTCAACACGGTGTGAGCAAAATATTTTTACTGTATAAAATGACCATAGACATTGAAAATATCCAAGTTTAAAGAAATAGGCTGAGGTCAGAGGATTGCTTCAAGTTTGAGATCAGCCAGGGCTACCCAGTAAGTGCAAGGCCAATCTGAACTGCTCCTCAAGACCCTGTATCAGACAACTGAAAAAATAAGAAAAAAAGATCAGATCACAAATATATGGAAATTATTATAAAACTTAAGTTAAAAAATTCTAATATAAGTATATATTTGTAGAATTAGAAGTGCTTTTCTTTTGTTTTTTTCTGTTTTCTTTTTCTTTTTGTATTTTAGGGAAGGGTCTACAGGGTGTTCAGGGTCTCACTACTAGATTGAACTCATAGTGATCCGCCTGTTCAGTCTCCCAAGAGCTGGGATTACAGGCATGCACCCTGGGGACTGAACCCCTGACCCCTGCAGCTGCATGCAGGGGCTTTTACCCACTGAGCTATTTGGCCAGCCTTCTTTTAGTTTTCTGCATCTTTTTCTTTTGTAATCAGAATGAAACATATTTAACAAACATAAACATATTACCTATTTCCTATATCTAGTTACCTGTGTTTTCCTTCCCAGCCCTGAAAATTTCAGCTAGTAGCTGTGGAAAAGATCACTGACTCAGCACTCTGCTCCTTGCTGCACACCCAGGGATGAGCCAAGCCTTGCATACCATGTACACAGTACCACCCGGGCAGCTGCAGCACCGAGGAGGCTTGGCTCCCTCAACCTCGTGAGGCCCTGGGGAATGCCCTGCTTCCCAGCCTCAGTAGCACTTGGTACCTGCTAGCACCATGGACTGGCCCACCCCAGACTTCCTGACACAAAACTTGCACAACAGCAGGCAAAAGGGTACACCACAGACTGAGTGACCCTGGCAGCACAGAACAACATGGGAGCCTAGACAAGGGTGTGGGTGTCCTCAGAGTCTCTGGCAACCAGGGACTCTCATGCACTCCAGCACTGGCAAAACACTGTCTTCTTGTAAGGGCCTGGCTTCACCATAAGACTGGCATCTCCAGCTCCCACCCCTGCAACAGGTGTAACCTCCCTACAACTGTTTTCCTAAATCCCTCAGGCAGGTTGATCTGGACAATTGAGGCACTTGCTCAATGTTTGGCAGCCTTGGAGCCCAGAGCCATGCCCTGGCCCAGTGCCCTGTCTGCACTTGGGGAGGGCAAGCTCCCTTGGGCCTTCCTAGCATGCTGCCTGCTACTGAGGCTGTGCTGTCACAGAGGGCTGAGGGCACAGAAAGGTGCAACATATAGACCAAGCAGAGGGTTCCAGCATGTCCTTCAGGAATCTTGAGAGGAAAGGAAAAATGTACTCTGTTGCCTGCAGAAGTGTGAGGGTGTCTTACTGCAGGTTTGTAGCCTCAGTGACTTCTTGCCCTGAGGTGGGGAAGGCCGACACTCTATCTGCCTTCCTCAAAATATCATCACAGAAACTTCTAGGCAACATTTTGGAATATTTTCTAACAACATTTCTATGAAATAAGGCTTTAGTACTCACGCTATCCAATTTCACCAAAAATTCTACTTTTCAGGTCATCTTTCCAGTGAGGTGATCCTGATCTCAGTTCCCAAGCCCCCGTTTCAGTGGTGTAGGGCACTACCTGTCCCTGGCCTTACGGCCCTCCTGTTCCTTGGGACCTCTGTTCCCTGGAAGGTGGTGACTCCCTGTTGGCTGCTCCTCATCCTCCTCGACTTCCTGCCTTCACTGTGCCCTTCAGAGATGAGTGCAGCTTGTGACTTGGTGTAAGATTCCACGAGGGCCTGTGCTGTTGGGAGCATCTCCTGTGACCCTGCACTGGGAGCTCAGCATGGTGCCCACACTCAGCACCAACAGTCCCAAGAAGAGTTATTTGTCCCAGTAGTGTTTACAGTTGGGAGCAGGGGAATCAATAAGCTGATTTACTAGATAAAAAGATTAAGAAAGGCACAGAGCATAAGAACACAGCAATTTTATTTACACAACTCTGATCACTAGAACCTAGCAAGGTACTCTGGTTCAAATAAATACAAAATGCAGCATTAGATGTGTAATCATAATGAAAGCAAAAAGTTCAAAATGTCCTACAAAACATGCCAAGACTACAGGCACAAATAAGGAAAGCGTCCCGCATGTCCAGTGTCCAGGGCGTCCTGGTCACAGTCCTGCACGCTGGCCATACAGCAGGTCTGCATTCCCCAAGCCCTGCGGCAGGTGACCCAGCTCTGGCTGCTGGCACCATTAGTCACTTATTCCCAACCGCAACATCAAGGTGTTGTAAGGTTGGTTCATTTCTGGAGGCTGGGGGAGCCCCGGTGGTCCGGTGGTTGGTAGCAGCCTTGGAGACCCAGCGCTGGATGTACAGCCCCAGGCTCAGCCTTCGCGTTATAGGCTACCACTGTCCTGGGCCAGGAGTCCAGTCTCAGCTAGAAACAGCACCTCAGAGTGCGCGGAGATGATGTGACTTGAGCTGGCCTGCACACCCCAGTACAGCTCAGCCACAGGTAGGAAAGAGGCAGCCATGCCTCTACCGCAGCATTCCCAAACAAAGCGCACTGTTCTCAGGAGTGTGACAAAGCTTACAGCACCTATCTGCAGAGAGAGGGGGCGAAAAACACTTATTTATAAATGTACGCAGGGTGGCTTGGATAATTGTACTACTGATTGCTGCCTACAGAAAGCAGTGCTTAATGCTTAAATTTGTTTATCCTTTTTAATTGCTTATGACTTCTCCCAACTGTGTATGCATAGATCTGGTAATCTAATTTGTGGACAACACTGCAATACAACATTGTCGAATTGGTATTATTTTGTCTAGTGAAATTCTGTATCGTTTCTAATGTTGATTATTTTATGTATTCTTTCTTATTTTTTTAAAGGATAAAAGCCTACAACAAAAGCCAAAACCCTTCGGGTTTCCAAAGGGCAGTGATTGCAGTTTCATACAGTGGACACTAGAGGGTGCCACTAAATTGTCCTGGTTGCAAGGTAAGAGTTGCGAGCAGCCCCAGGACAAGCACGGTGGTTTCGGGGGTGTCAGCCTGGGCTCCCGGGAATGAGCATGCTTCCTCTCCTCGATAGCAAGCGATCCATTCAACAAAAACACTCCTGAGGATGCTGTAATTAATCCCTCAAATTAAAATATCCTAAAAACCAGTTTGATAAACTACTACTGTAGAAACTCCTCCAAAGAAGAAAGGGGGTGTATTAACAGCGCAGATCCCAGTGCCGAGGCTGGTTCGTCCGCCCTGCTCCTTGCCCAGCAACATCGGCTGCCTTGTCCAAAGCCAGTTTATGTCACGATGAAACCGAGGTGGATGTTTCCAGGTCACGAGCGCCCTCCTCCAACACAGGGCCCTCTCCGCCCAGGACAGCAGGAGACACACCCGGCCCCTGTAGTCTGCCGGCGGTGCTCATGGACAGGGTCCCAGATCCTCCTCAGAGGTCTGGATGAGATCTCCTTGGAGAAGCGCGCTGCGAGGAGTAAATGAGCAAGGTCTGGGGAGGCCGCCAGCTCACCGGCAGGCCCTGCATTGTTCAGCCCACTGCTTCCCAGGCTCCTGTCCAAGGAAGCCGGAAAGAGTTTCTGGGAGAATCTCCACAAAAGTGCAAAATTATTCCATGCCTCCCCTACAAACACGGCCATGAATAATCAACATTCTGCACAGTAAAACAAAGCCAAGAGACTGCCCTTGAGAGAAGAAACCCTGGGACCTGAGGCGGGAAACAAGCTGAAAGAAAAGCCAAAGTTTGCTCCCTGAGTGAAGAAAGAGTACTTTTAAGTACTTTGCCAGGGAAAGTTCTACTTTTCAACCTTGATCTTTAAAACAAAATCTGTAATTTTTATACTGTGGAAGCAATAATGTTTGTGGTAACCAAACAATTGAAGTCTACCATCATATACACATTGAAGAAATTTCTTGCATTTTTATAAACAAAGCATCCTTGTAATTCTGAGCTGCACCTCTTGGCCAGAGTTAGTAAGAGAATAAAAAGGGTCAATGACCTCCCATGGATAATTTAAAAACTCATGGAACAAGGACTAGTTATTTCCAGTCACCCTAGCTTCCTCAAAATCAGAGTAACACACAACTCTCACTGAACACAACCCCTTTTTTGTAGAAGAGGTGTATATATCTAGGCTTGTAACTCCTAAAACCCTGCTCACAGAGGCTTTAGGAAAGCTCTGTACCACCCCCCACCTGGGGCCTATAAGGTTTCACGGGCCCTCAGGTTGACTACCAAGCAGATGACGAGCTCAGGCACTGAGAGCTACACACTGGTCTCTGACTAGCTTGCACTTAATGCAAGCACAAAGGACCTGTCGACTCACAACCACAAAGTTGCACCTCTTCTCTCCTATCCCAGAGAACTGGGCCAAAATCAGTGTGGTTCCCAGACAGCAGCACCACTCAGAAACTTGTCAGAGATGCAAATGCTCAAGCCCTGCTCCGGACCCACTTCCATTAGGAATTCTGGGGATCAAGCCAAAGTCTTCTCTAGTCCGTTTGTGTGTGGGGGTAGGTGGAGTGTGTGTGTGTGTGTGTGGGGTGAATCCAGGCCTGGTGTGCTGAGCACATTCATACTCTATCTTGAGCTAAGCTCGGTGCAGTCCTGAGAGCTTTACCAAACCCCTCTTGGGATTCCACCACTGCTGAGTCTAAGAACCACTAAATTAGAAAATTTCACAATTTCAAGAAAAAGGAACAAAGACAGACTACTCCATGGAAAGTAGAACCAAGTTTATTAATGGCCACCTTTATTACAATCACTCTCGAGTGTAAAAAATAAAAGATTAATTAAAATTTAAAACTCACTTGTACTTGCTGTTTGGCCTAGACTGGATGTGCCAAAGGGCGGGGAGCCTGCCTGACTGAAGCAACTGGTCAGATGGAGTTCCCTGGAGAACAAGGTAATAAAAAGACAAAGTACCAACCAGACAGCTCGGCCTTCTCCATGTTGGAGGGACATTACAGAATGCCCACTGTGCTGTGGGCCGGAGTGAAGGAAGATCCTCTCTACACCCAGAATGTGAAACAAACACCTCTACCTACAGAGACAAGCATACACAAGCAGTCACACACACATCCCAGGTGTAGAGAGGAGACTGCAGAGGACTTCTGTCTTCTCTCTAAACAGAGATGAATCTGCTCAATTCCCATTAATTATGCCAGCTTGCTGCCCAGTTACAGCTGGCAAATGTGGCACCGGTGTGAAATATGGTATGGTTTTCCCAGTGTTCCACACACACTCCACAGGAGGACACCAGTGGGCACCAGTTGAATTTAAAATGGGGGTTGAAATGGGCCCTTCCAGGAGAGGGGCAGGGCTGGCAGCACCTAGAGTGGCTCCCCACCTTGGGTGACAGAACGCCCTCCAGCTCCTCTACATCTGCTCCAGAGGGTTTGTGCTTTGTTCCCACCCTGGTGGCGACTTTAGGACAGAGGAGCTGTGGCCATACACTTTTTTAAAAAATCCAACTAAATCTTGAAGATGAAGAAAACATATTAGAAGCATCTGACTGTGTCAACACTATACTGGAGTTGGGTTTAATTCCATTCAGAGACAGAGGGGAAGGTTCAGAAGAGGCCACTGAGCGTAACCCAGGGAGGGAAGGCAGAGCCAGGCTCATCCTGTCCAGGCTGCGACAATAGCCACATCCTCTTGAGACCATGACCCGTGAGACAAATACCTGCTCTCACTTTTAAATGTCTTTAGAAAGATGGCAAGGGAGGGAGAGAGATGGTGGATTCAGATTCACCGGTCATGCAAGTTAAACATACAACAACAAAAAAAGAAGAGCCCAGTTAAATAAAAAAAACATCTGCAAAACTTAAGAAGAACCATATCCTACCTTTCACCTTTGGGAAACAAAAACAAACAAAAAACCCACCAACAGGAGTATTCCAAAGAATCCAACCACTAGTTGGGTGGGGTAGGGGTGGAGTGTTTAATTCATACCTCTCAGTAACCTCATTTTCTCCTTGGATTGCAATGATAAATAAAACTCAGGCCTACTTAGAGAAAAGATCAGTCCTGCTGGAATACAGTGTCATGAAGTCTCTGATGCCCTGCTGTTGGTGGACACAGAATACGTAACTTCCTGGAAGGCCATGATTCAGGACAGAGCACAAGGCCACCCAAATTAGTGCGCCTACAGGACAGCAGGATCTGGACCCACAGGCATGCTGTGCTCTTTTTCAGCTGAGAGTGCAGCAGTTTCTTACAGTGGACAGAAAGATGCCCAGCACCACTGCCCACCTGGTGAAGGGCTGACCAGCAAGCCCAGCCCTTCCTACCCTCAGTCACCAACGGGCAGAAAGGATGGGTTTCTCCACAAATTCAAGTCAATGTGGGCCCACCTTCCCTTCTCTTCCTTTCTGGCAGACATCCGTTCACCTGTAAATTCATGGCTACAGTAGAGATTCATGGCGCAACAGCTTTCAGACTGGATTTTTAAAAAAATTCTGTCAGCGAGCAGCATTTCCCAGTTTTAACACCCCCCTCCAAAAAAAATAAGTTTTTGGCAGCTCCAGTAGGCAGGCACAGGTTGCCTCGGTGACTGATCCTTGAGGTCTGGGTGTCACTGCAAGACTGGGACAGTCCTGAGTCTTGCAAGGGCTGCGCAGGGTCTACCAGCTGGCCCGGACAGCTTCAATGTCACTAACCAAGTTCTGGGCCAGGCATATTCCAAAAATCTAAGAAAAAAAAAAAAAAGCAAGTCACATTGTGAAGTTCTTAACATGGGGCTTTTCCTTGGCCACTGTGCCCCACTGTTTTGTAATTTTATTTTTTAAAACTGACATACAATTCATACACAGGGAAATGCAGCCTTTTAACATGACTCTGTGGGTTTCAGGCTTCCACAAAGTTTTGCAATGATCACATCTACTGAGTGCAGAACACTTCTGTTACCCCCAAAGAAATCTTGCACCACGACAGGCCCGTCCGTGCCCTCCAGCACAGGCATTTTGTCCACAGTGGCAGCACCTGGACAGCACACGCCAACGGATGTGGGCTAGTGCCTTTTGGCGAATCTTGTTAAGGTTCGCCATGAACACGGAGGGGTCATTTTTTGATTTTTTAAAATTCTTGCTGTACTGAGGGTTGAATCCAAGGTATGAGTTTGCCCAGGCTGGGCTCAGGCACCATGTGATTATCATGTCTCAGCCTCCAGATCCTGGGCTCCAGGTCTGCGCTACAAACTCTGCCCCTGACTGCTTTACTGGATGGAGCAGAACACAAACTCAGAATTTAGGTTATTATTCTGGTATAAACTATAAAAAAGGTACAGCGAGCTCCATAGGGGACAGGCATACCTGCCAGGGTGACCAGGAAAATCCCGGCAGCCAGGGCAGATGGCTCAGGCACAATGTCTTCACTGCTGCCCACAGGGTGCCCTGACTCTGCGTGAAGCCCAGGTTCCCTGGTTCCCTGGCCCCTGGCCCCTGCAGTGTGCTCCTCACTGTGGGTGTCACTGTGGCAGTGAATCTTGCTGAAGTCACACACTGATGACTTTTTACCAGTGGCTGGCCTGTGGTGACAGATCCGTGCTTCTTTCCAAGTGGGACCTGCACCCCTGCATCCAGCGGTGCTCACCGCTGTGCTCTGGCTTCTGTGCGCCACAGGCCAAGTCTGAACTGCCCAGCTCCTCCTCATCCTGGGAGCAGGCAGCAGTGCTGGGCCAAGCTCTGCAAAGCTGCACACACCCTCAGGACCAAGCAGAGTTGATGCAGACAGACACAGGGAACACTGAGCTCAGGGTGTGCGGGCTCCAAGGTAGCCGCCAAGTCCCCATCACATGAGGTGGTGAGGGTGGCTGAAAAGAAACACAGGTGCAAGGGGAGGACCTGGCTTTCAGTGAATCATGTGGGAGATGACTTACATTCTCTCTATACACTGCTGAAAACAGAAAATCATCCTGACTCCCAAAAAACAAGATGGCTGGCTGGGTCCTTTTTGATGGCTGAATAATACTCCATTTTATGTATTCCCTACATTTTATCTATTCATCAGTTAATGCATATTTGTATCGTTTCAATTTTTTGCTATTATTAACAATGCTGCTAACATCTGTGTACAAGTTGTTCTTTGTGAATAAATCTTTTCCATCTTTTCAGGCACATCCCTAGGAGAATTGCTGGGTCTTGGATTTCTGTTTAATTTTCTGAGGAAATGCCAAACTCAGTTTCACATCATTTTTATTTCCTCTGGTACCATGTGAGAATACCAATTTGTCAACATCCTCACCAGCTTCTATTGTTATCTTCCTTATAACCATCTTAGTTGGGATGGAATGGCAGGGGACTGTAGCCTTGACTTGCATTTTAAATTACGGATGATGCCTGCATCTCATGCATATTAGCCAGTTTGATTTTCCCGAGGGAAGTGTGTACTGAGATCCTTCTATCCATTTTTAGATTGGATTTACCTTTTATTTTTGGGTTGTAGATAATTTTATGGGTTGTCTTTTCACTTTCTTGAGAAAAGTATCATTTATAGTACACAAAAGTTTTTTTTTTAAAGTTTTACTTTTGATGAAATCTTATTTACCTGCATTTTCTTTGGTTGCTTGTGCTTTTGCTTTCATATCTAAGGAAACACTGCCCAACTCCAGAGAGTAATAATTTATGCCTATGCTGCCTACATTTTCTTGTAGGATTTCATAGCTCTAAGTCTTATACTAAGGTTTTTTTAAACATATATTTAGGACAGGGTCTATAGGGTCTAGAGTGTCTCACTACACTGATTGGACTCGTAGTGATCTTCCTGTTTTCAGCCTCCCAAGCACTGGGATTATAGGCTTGAGCCACTACACCCAGTCTCAGTTGCTGTCTCAGCGTACCCCAGGGGCAGGTCTGGCACAGCGGGCCCTGGGATCGAACCCTGGCCACTGTGTTCTGTCTACTATGCAGGCGCTTTAGTCTGCTGAGCTATACGGTCAGCTACTTAGGTCTTTAAAGATAGGGTCTCACCATGCTGCCCACAATGTCCTCCAACTTGCACAATGAAGTGACTCACTCAAACAACTGAGAGTGCAGGCATTCCCATCACGCCTGCCTACATGTATGCCTTTGATTTATTTTATGTTAATAAATAGGTATAAGGTAAGGGTCTCAGTTAAGTCATTCTGTAGGTAAACATTCTATATTTCCGCCTTATTTGTTGAAGAGATTATTTTACCCCATGAATGCTTTCCTTTCCTTTTCAGAAACCAAGTGACCGCAGGTGGGGGGCCACTTCTGGACTTTGGTCCACAGTGGTAGAGCTTACTGAAATGCACAGTATCCTAACTGTGGTAACCTTGCAGTAAGCTGTAAACTGGGAAGCAGGAATTCTCCAACTTTGTTCTTCTTTTACAAGTTTGTTTTGACAATTCTGGGGCTCCTGCATTTCCCTATGACATCTGGGGTAGCTTGTCCATTACTGATAAATAGGCAATTGCAATTGTTTGAGGGGTGCCCCTGTGAACACAGAATACCTTTCCATTTATTTAGGTCTCCTCTACTCATTTGCAGTCTTCCATAGAGAGTGTCAGATGATCAACAACATGGAAAGCCCAGCCTGCGGGGTCACCCAGGACATGCTGATGCCCCACCATTACTGGCACTGCAGTAAGCTACTCCAGGGCACAGTGCCTTGGACATTCCCAAAGCCTCAGGCCCTTCTGGGCTCTATGTTGGCCACCGAGGGCTGCCACAGTGAGCACCATGCAGTGTCTGGGAGCCCACAGAAACGAAAGAACAGCAGCAGGCTACCAGCGACTCAATCAGTTCTTCATCTTGAATAGGAAAAGTTTCCTCAAGTATTTCAGGATCTAATCAGATCTTTAATAAAGAGCAAACCAAATACTTCCATCTGTTCCCCAGCCCAGCCCTCTGACGTGTCTCAAAGCAGGGACAAGTGGGTGAGTCAGGAAGCTTCTGTCCCGTGAGGGCTCCCTGGGCCCGGCTCCCTGAGCTCACCCTCCGTGAGCCCCTCTTACCTGCAGCAGTGCAATGCCTATGAAGATGCCAGCCACGATAGTTAAATTGTCCTGTAGCCACTTCTCAAACTGGGGCACACAGCCTTTTGTGTAGATTACGATCTGCTGGTCAACTTCCTTCGAAGGGAAGAGGACAGCAGAGGTCACAGATACAGCCTGCGGTACGTAGAGCGCCTGCCCACACCCTGTGTGCTAAGAGTCCACTTACTGGTTTCTGCCTGGCGTCATAGCCACACTGAGTGTTGATGACATCTTCCTGGGGAAGACACAAAGGAGACAGTGAGACTCATCCTCGGAAACAGGACACCCAGCTGGGAGTGCGCCCAACCCCTTTCGGTGTCATCAATATGCGGGGCATCAGGTCACAGGCCCTAGCTCTGTGCTGAAAACTTTATACTGTTATCCACATCACTCTTTCTACATTTTACTTCTTATTATTAATACATGTTTCTGACATAGAATGACTCCAGAGTATTCCTCATGGGGAGCTGGAACATGTACATGACGCGTCTTCATTCCTTCCTTCAGACCCTTTCCACAGGAGGAATGCCTCTCCCTTACCTCTTATCACTAGCCTTTATTTGGGTTTCTCATCTAACAGAAACTATGAACTATATAAGCTTATTTTTGAAACAAACTGCACAAGCTGGTATTTAAATAACTCTTATTTTACAAATGAGACAAATGAGGCTCAGGGAAAAGCAAAAACAATGGCAAGTTCTTTTAAGAAAAAAAGGAAGCTGAAGATTCCAAGTGTTGCAACCTCAAGAAACTTATGGGGTTTAAGGAAATGCGGATGCAATAAAATCCAAACTTCGAAGGCAGTAACTACCTTCCTTTACTCTCTTTTAGTGGACCCTCTACTTTCCTTTTGTCTTTAATAACACTGGGGATCAAACCTAGGAGCTTGTGCTTGCCAAGCATACCTTTTAATCTATACTCTATTTACTCATACTTTTTAATCTATACTCTATTTACTCATACTTTTTAATCTATAAATTTCTGTATTTAATTTTTTTTTATATATATTTAGCACAGGGTCTACAAGGTCTCACTACGTAAAATGGACATGTAGTGATCTTCCTGTTTTCAGCTTTCCAAGTGCTGGGATTACAGGTACGCAACACCATGTCCAGTCTCAGTCACAATCTCAGTGAGCCTCCTGGCAGGGCCAGCACGGCATGCCAGGAATTGAACCTCGGTCCATGTGCCTGGCTAAGTAGGTGCTGTAATCCACTGAGCTATCTGGCCAGCCCTCTTTAAGTTGTTTTTAAATGAGGATACATTAATGACTGAAAATACAGCCTGCTCTGATCACAGATTCCCATGGGCCCCCTGACGCCTCTCAGCTCTGGCTGGAAGCACAGGTTGGGCTGTTACAGTTACGTTCATCTACCCTGGAGGGATAAAGTGGGTTTTATCTGTTCTCAGGGCTGAGCAGCAGCTCTCCCAGGAGTGTCTGTGGTAAAGGGAGAGGTCTGAGCCTCCTGAGCTCTCTACACTCCTCTGGCGAGCTGCTGGGTAGACAGGAGGCAATGCGCAGCATCTGCTGGCAGTGACAGGGCACCTGGTGGGTACCTCAGACCCAGAGGTGGGCATGAGGGGCCAGATGGCTTCCCTCAAGAAAGAAGCCAATGGGAAGGAGTGGATCCTCATTACTCTCAGCCTCCTCAGCCCTGCAGCCTGCAGGAAAGTCTCCTGCCCCCAACACCATGGCCCTTGCCCACGCTCACTCAGCTCTGCTTCCTAGGGTTGACGGAAGGCTTGAGGAAGGACCCTGGGGACCAAGGGAAGCAGGGAAGCTAAAGAGCTCCTGGGGCGAGGGCAGCAGCACCCCTCACCCATGCCCTGCACATCTGACTTCTCACTTGCAAGATAGGGTTGTATTATCCTGGTACATGGTCTAAGCCATCTATGATCACAGCTGTTGCAAAGGGATCTGACCTTTTTCTAAGAACAAAAACATAAATAGCAATTGCTGTAGTAAGTATGACACTCAAGCAGCAGTCCTCCGGCTAAGCAGGACTCCAGCCCAACCCTACAATAAACGCCCCTCCTGTTCTTCTATTTCCATGGAACTTACCTGGAAGAAAAGGGTTATAATTCCCGAACTATGCATTCCTCTGCACTCTCACATGAGCCCGACTTTCTCAGAAAGGGATGAGAAGAGGCAAAGCAGCATGCTAGGCTGACACTCACTCTAACCCTACTACAGGCATGTGCTTTACAGGCAAATTTTTCACATGCCATACCCTGTATCTTGGCTTCTTCCTGAATAGGGTGGGATAATGTGATGGCTACTTGGCCAATCCCTGAACTTAAATGAGGAGCCAGTGCACAGAAGGCTTAGATTAGGAACCAGAATGTTCTGCTACATCAACACCTGTGATTACTGCTCCTCCAAGTAGATGTGCACACTGTACAGGCTGGGGGAGCTACAATTAGGAACAAGCAGGGAAGCAGTGGTTTCATGGGAAACCCTCTGTCCTCCACACACAAGCATGGGGATGTGCCCTGTGCTTACCGCTGGGTCTTTAGTGCAGCACGAGAACGGCACGCCACATCGCTCTCGACTTGCATTGGAATCTGTGCAATTGAAGTAAATATTTAGGTTCCAATCATCAGCTCCAAAAGCCCCACAGCACTGCCACTAGAGCAAACAGGAGAAAATTAGAACATCTCCACTTAGAGTGGCCTGGGTCTAGGCTCACCCCTCACGCCCCCGAACAGCTCCAGCCCACCAGCTCCAACATTCTCTTCTGCTTCAGAATCAATTTTAATCCACACTGAACCTGAACAGCCCCTGTGAAAAGCTTCCAAAGTGAGGCTGAAGGTTCATAAAGATTCATTAGCAAGTGACTTAAACAAATGATGGTCCCATGTTACAAGGGGGAGAGGGAAGAACATTCAGTCAGCGATAAGTTAAGATCTGTTTGGCTTGGGTTCATTCTAGAAGAATATAGAAGATACTGGCAACAGTGGTACTGTCTGAAAAAGGCAGTTAAGGTAATGGTGGGGCTAGAGTTTTTTCTCCATACTTGAATATTTTTTAAAACCTCATTTTATTGAGGTATAACTGACCATGAGTACCCTGAACATTTTAAGAGTGTGTAATTTGCTAAGTTCTGACATACACATATTATGAAAATACAACCAAAATCAAGATCTCAGACATCCAGGTTAGGTTGTAGCTTAGTACTAGAGCACTTGACTAGCATGAATAAGGCCCTGGGTCCAACTCCTAGTATCACAAAAACAAACAAAAGACAGGGAATAAAATATATCCTTGGCCTTTGGTTTACTTTTCAGTACACTGTGTTTTGAATTTTAAAAACAAAAACATGTTTACATTTTAACTTCAAAAAGTAAATTAAGCTGTTCAATTCAATGAGTTATAGTGGGGCCCAATTCAAGGGTTATTCCATAAAGTCCTTTCTCATTCCCCTCAGCTTAACCATCTTCAGTTCTCTTGAGTTGAATAAATACCAAGCCTTGACTATCATAAGCCTTTCAGGACTAGTCACTACTTGAATGCATTAAACTCCATATTAGACAAATAGAATCACGTGGAACAACAGTGTTCTGGAACAGAGCCCGCAATGTTTCAGGAGGGTATATGGATGCATGTCCTCAAGACTCATCTAGTCCCCTGGGGTTGATGGTGCGACTAGACACCTTAAGATCTGTCATGCAGACCAGCGCAGGAGACCCTGGCAAGGTGTGTCCTTCTAAGACAGCTGGTCTCACAACTACCTGAGGCACAGCTCACCCTGGGCATCTGCCACTGTCACCAAACACAATCAACAAGCACAGCTCTGGGCTGGGGTGAATGAGGAAGGGAGTCCTCCTTTTGCCCAAGGCAGCCCGTGCATCTGGAGTAGTGTCCAATCCACACACCTCAGGCTTAAGAGAAAGCCACACACACACCATGAGCACACCGTGACTGCCCACAGATTAGACAGGAGCTGTTATTGCCATTTCACTACGAGGTTCTGTGGCCAATGGTCATTCAGACCTTTTATCTCTGGCCCTCAATTTGATCATTTTGATTGGGAGAGAAATGGGCTCTGCTGCTCCCTCTGCACTGCAGGAGCTGTCACACAGCCCACTTCTGATGTCTGAGCAGGGGAAGGGGTCTGGGTGCTTCTACACTTTTGCTGTCAACTATATTTGCTATAATATTGAGTGGGCATCTTTTAGGAACTTGTTAGACAAGAATTCTACTAAGCATACCAGTATGATCTGTAAAGTATGAAGGTTACAAAAAAAGGAGGTAAAGAACAAAAAAGATTTTTATCATACTTAATAACCAAATAAAACTTTATACCTACTGCAAAACAGCTATCTTCAAAGGTAGATAGGAACGGGCAATGAGACTATAACCTTTTTGCTCAAGAGTTGTCCTTTTTATTGCTCTAACTGAACAGAAAGTGGAACAAGTAAAAACAGAACATTTCCATTTAGGATACAAATCCTGTAAGTCAAAAAGTGAGTGAAAAAAAAATAAATAAAAAGCCATGCAGAAAAGGAGTTTCCAGCTCACAGAGATGCAGAGCCAGAATAATATTATAGAAATCACCCTTTTGAAAAGATTGGCAACTTGAAAATAAACCAAATTTTCACTTACATATTCCTGGGTGAAGTCTATGAGGTTTTGCAAATCAATGTCATCCCTGTATGCTCTGATGTTGTTGTTTATAAAGAAATACAGCTGGTCTTTGATCCAGTCTTTGAAAACAAATGCCAAAACCCCAGCAGTGAGCTCCAGGAAGAAAATAATTCCCAGGAACACAGAAAACTAAGACAAAAGACACATATATAGAGAGCAGTTATAAGGGCTGTTTTAATCATACATAAATGATTTCCCTCTGAAAAGGTCTGCAATTACTTTTGACTGTCACACATCTCCAAAGCAGATAATCTTCAGTTCCTCAAGATTTGTTAATAAAGTATTGCATTCCAAGAAAGGATTTTAAAAATCACTTCATAATCACATTCTAGAGTTTCCAGTGCTTTCTTTGATAATTAACCAACAAAGCTCATAAGGAAACATGAATAACAGGAATTTCTCATTAGACCCACATCATGCCTAATGAATTTCTTGGGATTAATACACTGCCAGACACTTCAACAATGCCCTGTCCCTATTTTAGTAAGCCTTCTCTAACTTGAAAGATAGATTACCCCAGTATTTTACAACTGTCTGTCATTTGTTATTGTTGCGTTGGTTCTGTGTGCAATATATCCCTTTTATGGATTAAACACCATTTTAATTTTCCCTTGAACCTGCTATGCAGTGTAAAATAACAGACTTGCTTATCCTGGATGGAGGAGAATATGAGGAGGAAGTGCAGGGTGGGTGAGTGTGATAGTGACACAGCATAATTTCCAATCAGTGAAGCAAAGTGAAGTCAGGTTAAAGGTGTTCCTGGGCTGCCAGCTGCATTTACTTCCTCTTTAGAGCACCAAGATCAGGAAACATTTTAGATAACATCAACATTAAGCCAAAGGGAGACACCTGGCTAAAATCAACTTTAAGGCCAGCGCCCAGAAACACTGTGGTAATGGTTCACAGCTCTGGGGAAATTTCACTTCCACCTTGATGCCTGCACAGCACCATCTTAGTCACTTTATGCCTGCTCACGGCTCCTCCCAACTCCCACACCTGGACCCTTCCCCAACTTCATGATGAACTAGGTTATGAGATATGGGCTGTACAGGCCCAGGGGACAGGCAGGCACATGCTTCTGGTGAAGAGAGTAGGGTATACAGGGTCCCAGTACTGGCCAGAGACCCCAGAGCAGCAAGCACTGAGGAGGCAGGGACTCTGCACTGAGGAAGAACCTGCCCACATGAGAGGCAGTCCTGCCTGACTGCACTGGAGGGTGCTGTACCCTCATCCCCATGGCCCCAACGCTTGTCTAGACCACTCACTGCCCTTCTCAGGAGGAAGGCAGGCAGAGATCAGTGTCTTGCAAAGTCTGGGGCCCCAAATTCATTGTTTAAATTCCAGACCTCCTAGCTCAGCTCTTTCAAGCTCCTTATTATCTGTCCTCAGTGAGCTCACTGGAAATGAGATTTAAACACTTCAACTGGCATTCAGTGCTACTGACAATTTCAAATTAAACTTTACTTAATTGAGAAAAAACACCAGAAAACATAGCACACCACTTTTGGGACTGCTATTATAAATAAAATTACATTCCTAGTATGAAACAATCCTATCTGTCCTTTCCTGAGGCCCATCTCAAATAAGCCAGCAACTACACTACAGAAGGACAGAATCCCAGCTAGTGTGCATCTGTGTACTTACAAGCAAGCAAGGCAGGAGCTGTGCAATGTTAAGGGGCTATTTGTCCTCACCTCCACAAAGGTCACTAAGTTCATTTTCCAGTTCCCCTGTAAGTTTTCTCATGTACACAATACACATATCAAACACTGACATGAGATTCAATCCATATCAAATATTTGGCGGGAACTTGCACACCTGAGGACCTGTGAGTAAACTCCTTCATTTTCAAAGGTACAGAAACTGACTTGTAGGCCTCTACCAGTGAGCTGTGCTTCTGTTTCAGGGTCTGAACTCCTGGATTTTCTCTCTGCAACTCTCCAGACTGGTGGTATCAGACCTCTGAGAGGTTGTCTAGAGGCATGGTGACATTCACTCATTTCCTCACAGCCCACAAAACATTCTAGTCCAGTTTTTTATAGAAAGAGGCTATTTAAAATATTCTCAAAGACTTTAAAAAAAAAAGCCAAGAAATAACATAGTTCATTTCTAAAAGTGGATTTAATTTTTTTTTTATTTTTGGTGGAACCAGGGATTGAACTCAGACCCTTGTGCTTGCCAGGGAAGTACTTATTCTACTGAGCCATCTCCCCAGCCCTAAAGGTGGGTTTTATAAAGGGACTGCTATTATAAATAAAATTACATTCAAGTGACTCACAATAAAGGGAATCCCACATTTTAGGGGCACAGAAGCTATACCTACAGGTAACTAAGGGCCCAAACAGGCTACTGAACATTTAGAGAAGGCTTATGCCATGAAACTGGTGGGCTGCAGGCTGCCTGGTCAGGACAAAGTGCTCCTGGTTCCACAAGTTGCTAACCAGATGGAAGATGGCATGTGTGTAAGTAAAAGAACTATTTGGCAGATAAGCCAGAGAGTCCTGGAAAAGCACTCACTCCCAGCACAGCCTCATATATACAGAATAAGAACTGCTGCTCATTAAGTTGTACCTAAGACACAAGCACAAGTACCCTACATTTCCCCACTAGCATGCACCATGAGAACTTTCAGAATAAGAGCCCCCTTGATCTTTGTGGCCAGAGGTGGCCAAATTCAAAATGGAGTTACCAAGGCAGGCACAGCGAGTGTTATATTCTTAGGGATTCTCCAATCCAAGTACTAATCAGGCCCGACTCTGCTTAACTTCCGAGATCAGACAAGATCGGGCGTGTTCAGGGTGGTATGGCCATAGACCTTCTTAGGGATTCTCAAGGAAAGATGTCAGAGGCTGATGGGGGAGGAGAATCATATGCTAAATGGCTTTTTGGACTTGTTCTAAAATATATTCTGGTTTTAAAAGCAAATGATCCTAGATCCATGATGGCAAACCGTCTAGAGACAAATATCCAAACTGTTACCCAAAACCCACCTATTTATTGCAAAGTGCCAGCACTGTTACTATACCTGAAAAGTTTAGAAAAACAATTAATATATTAACAACTTTTGTCTTGAAAGAAAAACAACACACATATCACAGGTTTGCCATCACTGTCCTTGCTGTATTGTGTCAGCAAAGGTTGACACCGTTTCTAGTAAAAGGCAAAGTTACAGAACCACTGTTCTCTGGAAATTCTTAGATACCTTCCGCTCATCACTGGAAGACAGGTACTTTTGATCCTTTCTGTTCTTGAAGAGGGACATGGACGCTTCACACACAGGACCACAGTGCCAAGTTCCACACCACCAGCTCTTAAATGTAGTTACTAATTCAACTAATTTAGCACATCCTGTGTGTTCTTGGAAGGGATCTCCAAAAGAAAGGCTCTTAGTTTTTATTCTCCACTTTTACTTTTAATACTCATGTACCCGTGCCCCTTGTAAAATCCCTCCTGTAGAAATGCAAGTACTACTTAGGTTCATGAACTTTATTCTTTACATGATTCTGGTCACAAACTGAGTTGAACAAGAATCAAAATCAAATTCAACTGCTAGGTTCATTGGGGAAAATTGTCCAGCTCAGTTCATGACTAGAACTGTAGAAAGAACTGGGTTCATGAACTGAGGCATCACTGTATTCCTGTTAACAGTATTACCCACAGCAAACAAAAAATCTTTAAAAGATCTAAATATTATGTCAGTCATATGAAGAATGTATTGGTCAAGTACAACAGAGATTTTTTTTTTTTTAATTGAGATAGGGTCTCACTGTGTAGTTCAAGGTTGTGCTGAACTCAACTTATGTAGCCCAGGCTGGCCTCCAACTCACATCGATCCTCTTGTCACAATCTCCTGAGTGCTGGGATTGAAGGCATGTGCCACCAACCTGGCAAGATTCACTTTTACTGTTCTTTTTATTAACTAAAATTTATTGCTTATAGGTTTAAACTAAACAAGTGTGAGTCACTGTGCTTATGCATGGGTTCTCCAGACCAATACTTGCACATCCTTATATTTCTTATGTGTGTAAAAGAGGGAGGAATAGGGCTAGTGAGATAGCTCAGTGGACTAAGCACCTGCTTAGGCAAGTGCAGGGATCAGGGGGTACAATCCCTGGTCCACATTCTGCACTAGCCCTGCCCTCAGGCAAGCTGAGCCAGTGACTGAGTCCGAGCATGGTGGCACATGCATCTGTAATCCCAGCACTGGGGAGGCTTAAAACAGGAGGATTACTATGAGTCCTACTATCTATACCTATACCAAATACATTTTTTTGGTGAGACCCTATACCAAATACATTTTTTTAAAAAAGGACAAAATCATGAAGAGGAAGAGAAGATAGCTGTACCAAGCTTCCATGAAAGGCATGAGCTGCTATTATGAAGGAGGTATGTCAAGGGTGGAATGCCTCCTACAAGGCAAACAGGGTCAGGGCCATACTTTGTTTCTAGCTTTGGGTACAGCTTGCTATCACACCTCTTGATATAAATGCCTGGACTCTAATCAGAGCACAGAGTGATACTTACAAACTTAAGGAGGAAGGTGTTCTCCCGCAGAGCTCCAATGCACCCTGCAAACCCCAAGATGAACATCACACCTCCTACCACAAGGAAGAGCCACACTGGGTCAAAGCCGCCAAGGTCGGTAATCGAAGAGATGTTGGACAGAACTCCCTGGAACAGAAAAGAACACACAAGACACCAGGGCATGAGAGCCATGTGCCCACAGTGTGGGCTGCTGTGTTTGGTTTTTGCCTTCTCCCACAGGGAAAAAACCTTCAGAGGTCATCTGTTTATCAGGTGGAGACACTAAGAAGAAAAAAGGAAACAAGGGCAGGGCAGGTAAGGGAAGGAGAAATGAAAGGAAAAGAGAAAACAGGGAAGGAAAGAAAAAAGAGAAAAAGAGCACAATGAAGGAAGGAAGGAATGAATGAAGGAAGGAAGGAAGAAAAAGAAGGAAATGTAATCACTGATTTTTTTCCAAGATCCAAATATATCTTTGGCAAAATTATACAAAGTAATAAAATGACCCCATCAGCCCTTGAATGGAGAAAACATGGATGTTACTTTTACTTCTATGTCCTCAAATATAAATGATATTGACTAAAAATCCAATATAGGAAAAACACCCCATCACCCTCTTCCTTTGAGGGTGAACCCTTGTTCTCCAGGCATACAGATGTAAGCAGCTTCCCAGTTCAAAGCATCCCCAAGTTCTTTAAGGAGAGACCCACACATCAGGGTCCCCTGAGCTTCAGAGCAGATCCCAGAAAGATGAAGATCTCCAAAATCCACCTACGTGATTTGTGATGATGGATATTCTACCTTCAATTCTCAGGATTATTTCCTAACAACTAAAAACAAGAAACAAAAAGAAACAAAACAGGGACCAGGGAGATGGCTCAGTGGAGTAAGCGCTTCCCTGGCAAGCATAAGGGCTTGAGTTCAATCCCTGGTTCTGCCAATTAAACAAAATAAAACAAAACAAAAAAACCCCAAATCAATCTTTCTATTGCCCCATCCCAACTACCAAAGAAACCCACAGTAGCTTTATTTCTCCATAAACAATGCCATTTCTTCCTAAAATCCTTTCTCCCTTCAGTGTGAAACGACATGAAATACCCCAGAACCTGTCAGAAAATGGGTATTTTCCCTTCCAAAATGTAATGTATACATTTACTATTCATTCGTAGAGACTAGCCTCTATTATTTTGAAACTAAGGCTTAAATATGCAGCGTTAACAATAATTTTATTTTCTGATTAAATTTGTTTTGAACTCCCATAACAAAATACCTCCGAAGCATCATTGTGTAGCTTATTGTAAAGTCTTAGTATATTTTTTTTAAAAGCACTCCCAACAATTTGGAAGACTAGGAGCTATTGATCTGGTTTTATATTTGAGGAAAATGAAACTCAGTTTTATTTCACAAATACAAGGCCTCTATCTATAGGCCCAAAGCTATTGGACACTGTGTGGCCAGTGTCATTATAACTTTTTTTATGCAGACAGGATTTTACCTGTCCTTGGGGATCTGTTTTAACTAGTGAAATACCTCAAGTATTACATTTGTAAAAAATTAGTCTCAGCATCATTTTGATTAGTAAGCAACCTATTGCAGTGGTTAGACAGGATAAAATCTCTTCAGGATGAGAGCTAAGCTATTAGGCATAAGCAAGATATCTACTAAACTGTTTCTATTGAGGTAGATGACTGGAAGGAAGGTCAGGGTTGGAGAAAGACAGACAGCAATAGGCTGGGTTTTCCTTTAGTCATGATTACTTCGTGCTCCTCCATGGGGACACTGACAGAGATAACAGTGTGGCCAGAGGAAGGAGGCAGCCCTGGGCCCTTTAATCCTAATGGACCACCTGTGAAGCTGAGTCTGAGCTCTAGGGCCTGAGCCTCAGAGTGCAGTCTCACTTCTAGTGGCTGCCTTGTCAGTCAGGGCATGCCTCTTAAGGTAGTCCCTCTTATTCTGGCCTGGCTTTTGACAGCAGTAACAGGTGAACCTCATCAACAGATGAACCTCATTGCTGAGCTCTTCTTAGAGCCCAGAGAATCAGACATAGGGTCTGTTTTGAGGCTGAAACAAACCTGAGGGAACCCATGTTAACTGCCAATATGAGGAGAAAGCCTGTTAAACTTTTAATAGATGCTCATGCAGACGTCTCAGTGTTTTCCATAGGTCCTGTAATTCATGTGCCCCTAGTAATGAGTTGGCCAGTTTATTTGAGATAATACCCAAAGGCCATGGAAGATAAAAAAGGGATTAAACCCCACATTTAAGAGATCTCTGCTAATGCACCTACAAAAAGTTCTGACTAGTCTTTATAATTACAAATTTAAAAAAGGTTATTATCTTCCAGATCCTTCTGCTAATGTCTCAACAGCTGTTCAAAAGATATCAAATCAATGGTATGTGAGATGCTGAGGTCCTCTGGACCTTATCTTTATCATCATTATGGAAAGTCATTACTGTCTCCTTGATGAAAATCATTTTTGCTGTATTCATAATTATCCTGTTGATGTTATTATTTGGCCCATGCATGTTTAATCATTTCTTTGGCCTTGTCTCCTCCAGATTTAAAGCTACTGCATCCACCCAAGATAAAAATGCCTGGTGTCTATTGAGGGCCTTTAGATAGAACCTCTGCAGAGTATCTATGACTGCCAGTTCACAACTATGACCCCTTTCAGCCTGAAGAAGCCAAAGCAGTCATCGCCCATGGTTCCCTTATGGCAGTTTGGGTTACTTCTTGAGAGAGGGGAACATTGTAGGCAGCTAAATTATATATAAGTATTATAGGCAGTCAGACAGGGCCGGGCCCTCAAGGAGACAATAGAGAAGACAAGGTTTAGACCTGTTCAGCTACTGAAGAAAGGGCTTAGGAGTACAAAATAGTCTTAAAATGTAAAAACTGACTTAATTATGGGAGAAGCTGGAGACCTCATTTACTTGGCACCAGAAAGAGGAGGGAGCTAAGGTGGAAGGTGACTTTGCAAATTTAGAAGAGACAGACATTCCTGCTTTAGAACAGACCTCAAAAGAGTAAACAAACACAGCCACATACTTTCCTAAGGACGGACATCAGGGATTGATATTCTAAATAGGTATCAATCACCTTGAAAGTGCCCAAATGAGTCACTAACCCAACCTTCATCAGGAAGAGACCTTGTCCTGCTTTCAGCCCACTTGCTCCGAGTTGCTTCCCTATTTGGTACTGGATTTAATAAATTTTACCTGAGCAATGGTGCTTGTAATCTAATTGGTTGACCATAGTTTTGTCCCACCTCATGCCCACCTAAGCAGGTTCCCATGTTCTCCACCACCTTAGACCCACTTCACTGCATAATTTTACACTGTAAAAGTCCCTGGAAGAGACAGCTTCCTGGGCACAACCCACTCAAGAGCTCTTGGACAAGAGCTTTCCTTCCCCCAAAAAATATATTCTGTTCTTTAAAAAAAAGAAAAGAAACTCATAACAGACCAGAGAGGAGCTGAAGGTCACAGATGGGCTGTTCTGGAACCAATAGAGAATGTCCACTGTAGTCACCCTTTCTGCCAAGCCAGGGTCCTAGACTTGCTCTGCAGTGCTTCCAGCTGATGCTGAGCTTAAATTTCAAGCTTCAATCCATTTTAATGTTGTAGAAACATTGTAGTATTTTGTTAGGTTTTCCATTTGCTTTTTAGGGTCTCATCAACTTAAGAACAACAATAGCATATTGATAACAGAACACATATGAGGGAGACAGGGCTCCAAAGGCTCAGGGTCTAAGGACTAACAGGTTGTCAAAGCAAGGGGGACAAGAGAGTGCTCACCCCTGTCCAGTGACAGCATTGATGGAAGCCACATCTGCATGGGACTGCACAGACCAGTGACTTGGTCCAATTCTGGGCTTCAGAACTAGGAATGTTGGGTCTATGCAGATAGCTCGGTGAGCTAAGTGCCTGCCTATGCAAGAGCAAGGACCCAGGTTGGATCCCTAGTACAACATACTGTGCTGGGCCCTGCCCTGGGACTGAGCCAGCCACCAAGACTGGGTATGGTGGCATAGAACAAAACCAATCTTTCCTCTCACCAAAGTTAAAAAGTTTTAGATCTGTTCAGCTACTGAAGAAACGGCTTAGGGGTACAAAATAGTCCTAAAATGTAAAAACTAACTTAATTATGGGAGAAGCTGCAGACCTCATTTACTTAGCACCAGAAAGAGGAGGTAGCTAAGGTGGAAGCCCCAGAGAAGGATGAGTTCCATTTCTAACACCACCAGCAACTAGAGAGGCTGCAATGGAGACCTGGGCTTCCTCTCATGGCTAGCTGACCTGCACCCTCCTTGCTGTGTTCCTCACAGGATTCCCAAAGAGGCTGGGAAGCTGGGACTTAATGATCTTCAGGCACCTTACAAGTGATGACTATGCTATAATTTCACCCATTTCTGATAGTCTATTTCTGACTCATACTTAGGTCTGAGCAAGGGGCAGGTTATTGTTTCCAGCTTCTAGGACCCATGGTTGTACGAAGGGCTTAGCTTGGGTGACTACAAGAACAACTGTCTAGGTAGTTCTGCAAATAAGCAAACATACATCTTTGTGTCTGAAATCTCAAGACAAAACTGATCTCCAAAAGGCAAAAATTATGGTCCTATCACTTGATTTCTAGATCATTTGTCCTTTCAGAGTTTCACTGAGTAGGTGAGAATTTGGCTTCTCAAACTCATTTTAATAGGTACTCTTCCTAGCCTGCAAGGGCAGTTTTGAGAGGCCTTCAATGGTTTCCATGGAAATGACAATCATTTGGGGCCCTCCCTGGACTGCAGATTCTACTTGTATTTGTAAATTCAGGCAAATGTCAGTAGTGGAGACAAATACTATGAAGAACTCAAGGAAAGGTAATATTCTGGAAAGCATGGGAAAGACCACCAAGAACTTTATTTTTAATGGATCCATTATATAATCAGTTTATGGTTGTGACATTAGAACGGTACACTGACATTAGTTTGTGACCAACCATAAACTAGTTCAAATCTTTCTGTTTTTGGGTGGAGGGGGGATCTAGGTAGAAAGAATATATTTTTTGGTTTGTTATTTTTTTTAAATTGATAGTTAAAATTATATGCACTTACCCTGCACAATATGTTTTGAAGTTATATACATTGTGGAATGGGAATGTCTAA